ACGCTCAGATGTCAGGGTTTCCCATATGTTGAGATCCAATACTAAAGCCTTCAGATACCATTTGCAGATGTCCTTGTATCGCAGCTGTGGTCTCCCTTGGGGGCGATTTCCCTGCACTAATTCTCCATACAGGAGATTCTTTGGAATCCGACCATCAGCCATTCTCACCATGTGCCCAAACCAACATAGACATCGCTGTCTACATGCTAAAAATTCCAGCTCGTTCTAGGACTACTCTATTTGGAACTTTGTCCTGCCAAGTGATACCAAAAATGCATTGGAGGCAACACATATGGAAGGTGTTCAGCTTCCTCTCCTGCCATGCACAAAGGGTCCAGGACTCACTGCAGGACAGAGATGTGCTCAAAACACAGGCTCTATAGACCTGGATCTTGGTGTATGCTGTCAGCTTCTTATTGAGCCATACTCTTTTTGTGAGTCTAGAGAACATGGTAGCTGCTTTGCCAATGCGTTTATCCAGCTCAACATCTAGGGAGAGAGTGTCAGAGATTGTTGAGCCAAGATACACAAAGTCATGAACAACCTCCAATTCTTGTATGGAGATGGTAATGGAGGGAGGTGAGTCCACACCCTGGCCCATGATTTGTGTTTTCTTCAGGCTGATTGTTAGTCCAAATTCTTGGCAGGCCTGATGACCTTATGAACTATGGCAGTTGTTCAGAAATTAAAATTCAAAGGCTCAGAGATTCCCTTGGGATTCCCTTCAATATGGGGAAGACTCCAGGGACCATGAAACAAGGACCTCCTTATGGCCTCTGCACAATGAAAGGGATCTCTAGGGAGCCTCAGAACCTTTGGCAGTGGAGGGATCAGAAATTTTTAATTTCCAAAATCTGTTGTGGCTGGATTGCAGTTGCTGTGTCCAAAGGGATATACTGAGTTACAGTGGTGCCTCACTTTATGATTGCCCTGCATTATAACAAAACCGCTTAACAACGATCTTTTTGCGATCGCAATTGTGATGGCAAAACGATGGTCTGAATGGGGGAATTTAGCTTTGCGATGATCGGTTCCCTGCTTCGGGAACCGATTCTTTGCAAAATGACATTTTTCGAACAGCTGATCAGCAGTTTCAAAATGTCCACCGGGTGATTAAAATGGCCCCCTGCTGTGCTATACAGGCAGTGAAAATGGCCACCGTATGGAGGATCTTCGCTGGACAGTGAGTTTTTACCCCATTGGAACGCATTGAACGGGTTTCAATGGCGGGGTTTTTTTTTGCTTTATGTTTTTGCTTAACGGCGATTTTCCTGGAATGGATTATCGTCGTTAAGCAAGGCACCACTGTAGATGAAGGTCTTTGAGAATCACATATTGATCAGTCAGAAGCCATAATGTAGACTTGACATTTTTCAATACACTGTATAAGTGTCATGATTGCTACAGGAGAAGTAGGAAATGACCATCTTTTATGTTTAAGCTTCTTAAATCATAACAAGGTCAAGGAGGGTGAGATAGGTGGTCTACAACTTGAATCTCTAGCCACTCATTGATTAAACATTTCCATTTCGACATTTAAGTAGGGTAATCTATTGAGAAGACATTAAAGCAAAAGTGTGCTGCTTATATATACTGCCCCACAGTGCTTCAAGCACTCTCTGGGCGGTTTACAAGTTAATTATGTGGGCTACACATTACCCCCCCCCGCAAGCTGGGTACTCATTTTACCGACCTTGGAAGGATAGAAGGCTGAGTTAACCTTGAGCCGGCTACCAGGGATTGAACCCCAGGTCATGAGCACAGTTTTGGCTGTAGTACAGTGGTTTAACCACTGCGCCACGAGGCTCTTAGTAAACTATCCTCACTTTTATTACTCTCCTGTATTGGACCTGAAACTAACCTTGGAAATGGTTTTGAAACTTCAGCCAGTTTAGAATTAGATTTTAGTTAATTTAGATTATTGTTTGGAATCAGCAAGTCAGAATATGTCTTTCCAGCATTTTAAATCCACTTTCACTCTGTTTCTGGGAGCACTTTGAAGTGCTGATTCTGGTCTATGAAGATTTACCAGGCTTGAGGATGAGTGAAGGATCACTTGTGCCCATGTAAACCTGCTCATCAATAATGATTCTCATCTGTGACCCTCATCTGTGTGCTCTTGTCACTGGAGATATGTTCACAAATATGCAATGATAATCTTTTTCCTTACCGCTACCCTGAATATACAATAATGTCCCAGGGACTGTAGGCTAGCAATAGTACTTATTTGACTTTCGGGCATTAGATGAAGAATTTTTTTGTGTTCTGCTGCTTCACTGGTGTTTTTATTGCTGTTCTATTGTGGGATGTCTTGTTTTATTGTTATTGTACAGTTAGTTCAGCAGTTTATTCATTCTTAGCTACCTTGAAAGCTTTTAATTCTTCCTAACTTTTAGTAAGTGATTGTTTTAATTTATGCCTTGCTGTTTCATTGTAGTATTGATGTTCTATGGCTGTCTCATTGCAGTACTGATATTTTAATTACCGTTTCATGCTCTGTTGTGTGTTTAAACTGACAGTTTCAGCTTTTGAAATTAATGGGACTTATTTTAACATTGAATCCCATGTCCTATTCATGTCATGTTGTTTGGGTAAAAGCTGGATTTAGTCCTATGTGATTTAGTAATGTCCATGGCCAACTGGAATATCCTTGAAACATGTCTGAAATATATGAGCCTCTCACAGTTACACATGGGGAGAAAAAATGATGCTGGTACTATAAAGAGAAATCCTGTTTTTCTTTCTTTTTTCTGCTTCTATTATATCCCTCCGTTGATTTTTGCAAATAACATGGCAAGAAGCTAGTCCATGTCATACCCTTTCAATAAATATATAATCTTCTTTGGCACATCGCTCAGTTTGACATCAGAAGGGATATCTGCACAGACATTGACTTTGCTTTATCTCTTCTCTCCCAGACCGTCTGGCACAACCAACAACCTGGTTCAGAGGTTTTGCATCGGAAAACTCATTCCACACATATGCTTCGCTGCATAGGAAAGCGTGCTAGTAGTCTTGGCCCTCACTAGGTGAAAACTGAGCTTGGGCAACAGAAATGGGCATTACCAGCAGCCCTTAGACAGCAGTTGCAGACAAAACTACTGGATAGCTCAGTGATTTAGGTATCTGGCTTTGGAGCCAAAGGTTGGGAGTTTGATTCCCCACCATGCCTGCTTCACAGAGGCTTAACTTGATGATCTACAGGGTCCCTTCCAGCTCTGCAATTCTAAAATTATAAAAACAAAATAAAACCATGCCTTGAGGTATATTTAAGGCTAATTGATCTATTCAGTGGGAGTTTTTATGGACTACAATCCACTTCAGACACACAAAGAGAGGAAATATCACTGTCTGATGGAAGGGAGATATTAGTCTTTGTCGACAAAAAAGAAAGGAAAAGAGTAATGCCATTCATCTAAATTTGAAAAATCACCCCAGATATGACTCACAGTATTGGGGCAGCTGTGATAGATATCTGCACAATTTCATTCACTTAATTGCTACTATGTTCATTTTCTGTCTGATTATCATGCCAATACCCACACCCACCTATCCTCTCTCCCTCTCTCACACATACACACAGAATTTAAAATGCTGCTATGATTGAGTTGCACCACTGTCACAGGTGGTCAACAGCATTCATCAAATGAACCCACAATGCCAAATGGTGCTTCCTAAATGCAAATTTGGGAAAGCAGCATAACCACACTATCTGCTTTCAAAGCTGGGTGGCCACCTATCAGATCTTAAAAGTGGATAAGAGTGAAGAACTTGTAGGCTTGAAGAGAAATAGAACTGGGCTGGATTGGTCTATGCTTTTCACCCTAAAAACACACACACACCATTACCAACAGGAGGCTAATGACACACATGGTTCTTAAGAAGTATGGCAAACAAAAAAACAAACTGCAGATTGAAAAAGAAACAGCCACCAATATGGAAACTTTAACACAATAGTTCCTTTCAGCCTCCTCATGGACCAGTTTAGATCTTGATCCCTCCACTGGGAATGGGCTGGATCTCCCACAGTTATTTATGGACAATTAGCTGTCTGCATACTTTTCATAAATACACACATCTGTATGAGAAGCAATGTGAGATAGTGGATAGAGCATTACAGTAAGCCTCAAGGGACCTGGGTTCAGCTCCCCATTTGGTCTTGGAAAATCATTGAACGAGGTTGACACTGAAAAACTACTTCTTGAGGCATCATGTCTCAGACCATGAAAACCCTATTAGGCTGGCCCCAAGTCAGAAACAACTTGATGCCCCATAATAACAGCTGATTTATATAAGCCCATATATTCTTCCAGAAAGTACAACCTGTTAACACAGGAACAGTGAATGTAAAATTCTAGGACACAAGCAAATCATCCCACATCTCATTTGATAAGGCATCCTTGTGGGGTCAAATGAGGCTTACTTTTGAGTCAACCTATTGGGGGAGCTTTTACTGAAAACAATGTCCCTGCTGGCTTACATCCAATTCAAGCTATTTGGCTCACATTAGTTGCGAAGTGGGTGGCAGGTGACATGTTTTCTATACCATACTTCCATTATGGAAGGAAAGTGTCCCATTATACAAATCCAGTTTGACCACTATGGGAGCTATCCGTCCTGCCTGTCCACTCTCTTTTGTAATACCAGCATTTCCCTTTCTGCTGCTAGTCATGCCTTTAGCCTCCAAAAATGACTCTCTGGCTCTTAAAAAAGCAGCAGCGAAGGCCCTCGTCTTTCTAAAATTTAGAAGCAATTTCATACACCTTGAATTTCTCACCCCAAGGTTTCAGAAGCAGAACAGCGCCAATTCATCCCTTCTTCTTCCTAAGAAGAGGTGTATAGAAGAAGACAAAACCACTAAATGCCTTCTTCAAGACGTCCTTCTAAAATGATGCCTTCCCCTCGCCATCTGTCCCTTAACACCGTCTCAAAGTGTGTGCCTGCGTCCGCACTTGTGATCAGAGGATAAAGAGAGGTGAAACCGAGGTGGGGTACTTTACCTACTAGGAAATCGGAGATGGCCAGGTTCAAAAGGAAATAATTGTTCTGTGTCCGCAGGCTGGAGTCCACCACGAATGCCAGCATCACTAGGGCATTGCCGGCGACGGTGGCTACTATTAGTATAGCCATGAGGCTGGCCAAGACGACGGTCCACGGGGTAGAGAACCGGCCCCAGAGCGGATCTCCTCCGGCTGCCTCCTCCTGGCGGCCGGAGACGTTCAGGGGCCAGGCGAACGAGGAGCTGTCCATTTCAGCACCACGCGGCTCAGCCTGAGCTCAGACGGGGAGAGCGAGCAGGGTGGTCCGCACCATCGCTCCCGCGGCCGAGAGCCGGGCGCAAGCGGGCTTGCCGGTGGGCAGGATCGAAGTCAACGATCTCGCGGTTGTAAAGGCAGACAGCCACTCAAGTCAGCTGGCGCCAGCCCCCAAAGTCTCAGCCGCCCCCCCCAAGGTGCCTCGATTCCCTCTCTGCATTTTGCTCCCTTACGCGCTGAGCCATCGACGGGGAGGGCCACCCCCCCAAAAAAGATGTTGTTTCTTTCTCTCTCCAGCTCGCTCTCCCGATGAAGCTGTGGGTCCCTTCTCTCTTCTTCTTCTTCTTCTTGGTTGGCTTGTTTGTTGGTTTACTTATTTACGGGAGAGGGAAGTGGAAGAACGGAGAAAAGAAAAGGCAACCGGCTGCGATTTGGAACGGCTCGTCTTCTGTTCAGCGTCGGAAGAAGCCGGCCAGCCTCCTGGCAAAGCGTGAAGGATCGCCTCCAAGCGTCTGAGCCTTAAAAAGCTTCCAAATCGCAGCCAGAAGCGAGTCAGAGCAGGACACGCGGAGAGCGGCAAGAGGTTCCGTGGGAAGGCTCCCAGCCCGAAAAGTGCCCTTGGCTACCAGCCTCCAAAAATCTGGAGCCGCGATTCTGACTTCGCGCCTGCTTCCTGGTTTCTGCTTCTTAAAGACATCGCCCTGTAAACTTTAGATAAGGGTTGCAGTGAAAAGGCAGGAGGGCGCGCCTCACCAGAAGGGACTGTTTGCTTTGGGGGTCATGAGTGTGGGTTGAGCCAGGAATAATCAATGGGCACAGGTGTGAAGGGAATCGGCTGTGGGGATGTCTGTGTGGGTGTGCCTACAAGGGTGTGTATGTGTGGGTGAGAGATATTCCTGCTGAAACAAGGAGCCTTGTCTGCTACAAGTCAGGGGGTACAGTGACCTACCCGCTTATATTTATATGGCATTTTAATCTCCAAAGTCCACTGCAAGCTTTCTTGTATTTGACCACGCCATGCCCCTCCTGCAAAACTGGAGCGGAAGCTGAGAAGGAGCAGAAAAGGGCCAGAAAATGATCTAAAACATGGAGCAATTTTTCTTGTCAGGAATGGTTTCAGCATTTGGGACTTCTTAGATAGAATGGGGGTGGAGAATGAGTAAGCAGGAGGAACATGTTTAAAGGTACATGGAATTATACATGATGTGGAGGAAAGTCCATAGGGAGAATTTCCCACCCTTCTTTCGTAGTAGTACAGTTTGGATCATAGAATCATAGAACAATGAAGTTGGAAGAAGCCTATAAGGCTATCAAATCTAACCCTCTGCTCAATATACGTAGGAATGCAAATCAAAACAGATCTGACAGATAGTTGCCAAATTTTCTCTTGATTGCCTCCAGCATTGGGGCGCTCACCACTTCCTGGGGTAAATTGGTTCTATTGTTGTACTGCTCTAACAGTTAAGAAGTTTTTCTTATATTCACCCTAAATCTGTCTTCCGATAGCTTGAGCCCATTATTATGTGTCCCGCACTCTGGGATGGTCAAGAACAGATCCTGCCCCTCCTCTGTATGGCTGTCTTTCAATTATTTGACAAGTGTTGTCGTATCTCCCCCCCCCCCAAGTCTTCTTTTCTCAAGGCTAAACATGCCCAGTTCTTTCATAGATTGCTCCAAGGAAGATTCAGGACAGCTGAAACAAGGCACCTTTTTCGACAAAATATAAATGATGGAATTTGTTAACACAAGGTCAGTGACCATTCATTCTACTGGGAAGTTTTGAACAGGAGTCGTATTCATGAAGGATAAAACTACCAAAGTTTATTGGTCATATCCCGCTGGCCGACTTCCCAGATATGTGGATTTGGACCAATCCCTCAGGAATGTTCTAAAATGCCTAATGGTAATAATTATGACGATGTACTGCCAACTCAATTTCAACTCTTGGTAACACTTGTCAGGGTTTTCTAGGTATAGAGGACTCAGAAGTAGTTTACTATTACCTGCTTCTGATGGTGATGTGAAACTGTGCAACTTGCTACAGGATACCTTCTCTTCTGGGAGTGTAATGGGGAACTGAATACCCAGCCTTTGACTCTGCAACCAGATACCTAATTCACTGCTACTCCAGTTGGCTGTGGCAATGTGTTTGTTTGTTTTGTTGCACCTGTAAAGCCACTATTTAAGGACTGAACATCAAGCTGTCTGGGCCTGCAGCAATTTGTCTGTGATTCAAAATGGATGCTTTCGTGGTGTGTACCTAATATTCATGTCTTGCCTTGCTTTGTGTGCTTCATCCAAGTCCTGAAAATCCTGCTCTACATTCTTTCTGATTCCTTTCTAGCAATGGTTTTTAGTTGCAAGGTCAGAAATTGGGATCTGTCTTTTGGAGGCTATGTTTAATTTTCTTGAGTAATGGATAAAGCTTGGTTCTTACCTGGATCACATAAAAATGTGTGTCCCCGGCCTCTGAGTTTTACATAATTAACTACTGTATATAAAAGTTTCAGATCAAACATCTGCTAGGACTCAGTGGTGTATTTTCACTGGATCGGACCACCTCCACTAGATTTGGTCAGCCCCCTAAAATCCTTGGGAAGATGCTGAAAAATCTTCAAAGCATTTTGGGGGGCACTACAGAGGGTTCTTGAGAGTCCCCTGGACTGCAAGGAGAACAAACTTATCCATTCTAAAGGAAATCAACCCTCTGTGCTCACTGGAAGGACAGATCCTGAAGCTGAGGCTCCAATACTTTGGACATCTCATGAGAAGAGAAGAATCCTTGGAAAAGACCTTGATGTTAGGAAAGTGTGAAGGCAGGAGGAGAAGGGGACAACAGAGGATGAGATGGTTGGACAGTGTCATCAAAGCGACCAATATGAATTTGACCCAACTCCGGGAGGTAGTGGAAGACAGGAGGGCCTGGTGTGCTCCGGTCTGTGGGGTCACGAAGAGTTGGACACGACTAAACAACAACAACAGAGGGCTTCAGGAGGAGGAACAGGAGAAGGAAGCCCCAGTTCTACTGATGCTGGATACTGGAAAAAACCAGTGGGTCTTGGCTATCATTAGGAGTGACATTAATGGATTTTCAGCTTTCTTCCTTTCCTCAGAAAACAGGACTCATTGTGACAGTGATGGATGCTTCAGCTTCGTTGATTTCCCCTTGCCATGAAGGGAAACCCATTACTAGAAATGACAAAGATGGATTCCCAGTTGTCCTTTTATTACTCCCCCCTCCATGAAAACTGAACTTTTACATTCTCATTAAGGAAAAACTGACTAGACATTTGTCACAGATACTTCTTAAGCATCTGCCCTGTAAGCAGGAGGACAATGAAATGTTGATTCTCATTATTGACGTAGATTTAGCAACTGCTAGCCTAATGGGAAGGTTTAACTCCTAGTTGAATCTTGTCTTTGGTACCACCTCTTTGTGACACCGCTAGAGAACCAAACGTAAGGCACTCTGACTATCTGATCTCACTAGTGGAGGATTAAAAAGATATGGTAGATTACTTTTAGGGATAACAACTCTAGCATGCCCCAGAATATAGAGAAGATTGTGAGGGTTCGATGGGATGATCACGCGACTCTTCCTTTTCTCCAATAACTTCACCAGATGCCATTTACAGTGGTGACGATGGAACATTTCTTTTTGAACTAGCAGATAAACCATTGTCTTGAACTGGAACATAGTGTCTTTCACCTTCCTCCAAAGGGATGGGAAGGGGCTTCCAATCTTCTAAAACAAAGGGGTTGCCAAAACTAGAGTTCTACGGTCCTGGTGGCTCGGCTGGCGACCATTCCTTCATCGTCGTTCCCGTCTGTATAGGCAGCAGGAGCATGGACACATCTCCAAGGAAATCCTCCCACTTGGGACACCTCCCAGGTTCCAGCACTTCCCAGGCTCTCTCCAGTCTGCCTTCTTCATCATCTCCCGCACTTGCCATTCACTCTTCTCTCTTGTTCTACTCTTTCCTCTCTTAATTTCTACCTCCACTCCCTAGCTTCTGCTTCTGGGGGGAATCATAGCCCTTCTCCTATGATCATCCTCTTCCCTAGGCACCTTCAGTCTCTCACACTTCTGGGTCCAAGGATATTGCAACCAGATTCATTCCCAACCTGGAGGTAATGCCCCTCCTCCTTCTATTACTTCTCCTTCCCCAGCTTCTATCTCCTCACTCTCTTTCCTTTCCTGTAGCGTTCTCCATTTATTAGATCTATGGTTCTTGTTGTATTATGTAATGGTTTATGAATATTCATGTTGCTGAGAGGCGGAGTCAAGAGAGATGCTATAAGAGGCGGGGTCAGAGAGTCAGAGGGCAGATTAAGTGAGATGGAGTCAGTAATAGAAATGTGAGTCAGGCAGGAGAGAAAAGCCAGACAGTGTAATAGAGTGTGTAGTTTGGGGAAATTCTGAGGAATGATTAGCTACTGAAGATATGAATCAATCTATGTAATCAATAAAACAAGGTTTTATTTTAAAGAACTTGAAGTGTGGACCTGAACCTTTCTGAAGTAAATGATGATTTAGAGATCACTTGGTGGCAGCAAGTGTAAAAGAAGAGAGTGTTTGCCTTTGTGTGCTCTGGGGCTTGAAGGTCAAGCAAGGGGCATGAGGGTAGACACCACACTTTCCTTTCCTGCCTTTTTAAACTGTTCTTCCTTTACTCCCATCCCTCTCAAACTCTGGGACAGTTCCTCCTCTTCTGTCCCCTGGAGGGAATCCTCTGGGGTTTTCTCTGGAGGCATCGGGAGTCCATATTCCCCTCCTTTCTCTGTCTCCTTGGTGGGAATGGTCGGCACTCCAGCGTGTGGTGACCCGACTCACCTTCTGGCTCACAAGGATATACAATGAATGGTAAATACTTTGGGGAGTTCAACCATAGATGGTCCTGCCTATGAAGCATCTTAGTGACAAGATGCAGCAAGATGACTCAGTGAACACCTGCTAATTTCGCAATCCCTTCAATTAAAATGGTACGAGAAAAAATCAGTAGGTGCAAGTAAAGTTCTGTCTCATCATCTTTCTGAGTTATTGGCGGAAGTTCAACTCATTGTGAATTCACCCACACCATGCCATGAAACAAAGAAGAACAGAGCCCCCAGAAAACTAAAAATGAACAAGTGAATGAACTGGAATCAATGAAACAAAAGGATTTACTTTCTTGATTCTCAACAGCATCAAGCAGTGCTTTGGAAACAGATGATCCAGCCACCCACATGGTACTGATGGGGAAAAT